CCATGTGATTGGCTGCTTAGAGATTAAGTATTAACGAGCAGTTGGACAGGGGTACCTAATAAAGTGGCCGGTGAGTGTAGCAGTATGTCAAAATTTACCATCACAAAGCAGCCACAACAAGTAAGCTTGTCTTTATAACTGCAGTTCAAAAATGACCTATTCTTTTTGAGAATAAAAAAACAACTTTGAGTCAGGTTTGAACTGATGCAGCTTGGGCTGTGTTTTACTCACTAATGTTTCACGTATATATTCAGAAACTACAAGGCCTTAGCTTTCAAATAATGTATCACACATGTAATTTGGGTTTACAATTCCTAAGTTGGATGTTATAAAACAGTTAATTCACACTTACTGTTGTGATGTGGTTGAAAATGTTCTAGGAAATCCTCACATTCAGATTCATTACAAAGTTTTATCTTATACGCAGTAAAACAATCCGATAAAACGACACAGCTGCAGGAAAAACCCTGATCAGTCTGCAGAACTGGACAGGAAAAAACCCTGCAGAAAGAAAAGTAAAAGAGGTTCTGCTTTGGTTACGCTGGGTACAGAAAGGCGATTAATCTGACCACAGAGTTATGCTGGATTTGCAGATTCCCTTCAAAAGATACACAGCAAAACCTAATCTTAAATACGTTTATATCTGAGCTGGTTAAAGGATGGTTATAACTAGCTCAAAGGAAAGTAGTTTTATTTACCTGCTCAAATCAAGGGAAAATACTAGTATTTCAATAAAAATGACTTACGTTCTTCGAGGATCAAGTGTCGTAAATTCCAGGCTGTAATTTTTGGACTCGACCACAACACCATCGCTGAAGTGCCACGCACAGGTTATGGTTTTAGTTAAGTCGCTCGTGCAGCGATTCCCACCAACTGAACAAGCAGAATCAGGAAGACAATATTTATTCATGCTCTGCAATATAACATCCACACAGAGTGAATCAAATTTCAAAGGAAGAAAAAAACAAGCAATGATTGCTTCTGTTTACTTTTAATAAATGTTTTATTTCTTGCTTTTTTTTTGTTTTTTACCCAGTTAGTTTTTTCCAACATCTATCTTATAATCAATCTGTGAAAACATTTATTTTGAATCTACCAGATGCCCATGGAAACATTGAAAGACTTAAATAAAAAAAAAGACAAATTTCATTGCATTTTCCTTCCATTTTGCAAGACTTTCCAGGTTATCTCAAGGAAAAAGCAGAATCAGGACGAAAATATTTATTCGTGCTCTGCAATATAACATCCACACAGTATCTCCATAAACTTAGAGTGAATCAAATTTCAAAGGAAGAAAAAAAACAAGCAATGATTGCTTCTGTTTACTTTTAATAAATGTTTTATTTTTTTGTTTTGTTTTTTACCCAGTTAGTTTTTCCAACTTTATTTTGAATCTACCAGATGCCCATGGAAACATTGAAAGACTTAAATAAAAAAAAAAGACTAATTTCATTGCATTTTCCTTCCATTTTGCAAGACTTTCCAGGTTATCTCAAGGAAAAAAACTATTGTAAAATTAGCTTTGTAATTGTGCCTGTTTTCTCTTTCTTTGTCAGTTTTTTTTTCCTGGCCTAAGAGTTTTATATATATATATATATATAAAGTGTGTATATGTAAATTGAAAGGATGAAGCAACAGACACAGATCAGATTATGACAGAAAAAATGATACAGAGCTGTTTTCAAGATGAGGTATTTTAGCTTTCATACTAGGAACCTGCCACAAAAATACAGATTTACATCAGTTTATGTGAATCTATGGAAAATACCTAATTTACAAAAGTTCAACACATGGTCTGACTTTTGGCAAACAGCTGATGACAAACCGAAGGAAGACCCGACTCTCAGGTTCCTGCAAAAATCTAAAATGATCTTATTGCTTAATTGTATAGAATATAAGAGGAGGTTCAAATTTTTCCACACTAACATACATTTAAGAAATGGGAAAATAATATATCAGCATTGATATGTTGGCAGCAAATCCAGGATTCTTAACGTTAAGACATTTCTACACCAGAATGTGTAGGTTGTCATGCAACTGTACTTCTGCTTTTATTGTTACTCAAATCAAAACCAGGTGTGAGCCATATTCAAAATAACCAAAATGATAAGAAAACACAGGTTATATCGAACTCAGATTACATGATTTTCTTGACATTTCTCCTTCGTAAAATTTCCAATGACTGTAATATGAGACAGAAAGCTTATCTGCTCAGTCATCAGTTCAATCATTCATGTGAGGAGGGGGAAAAAACTAATCCGTGATATCACTCAACCCACAAAGTGAGCTCCGCTTGAAGCTACCTCCTTAAAGGTGTGAGCGGTACCTGTGATGATGTGGGCCACTGCCATGATGTTGGAGCACCAGAGCACAAACAGGAGCCGCCCTCTCATCATGGCTTACTGGATCATAAGCATCACTCTGTCATGATTAACAACATCTTATCATTATTATTATGACAATCTTTTAAAAATATAAAAAAATTTTTTTCTCTAGATTATAAACAGATCAAATTATAGAAGCAACAGAGAACTATAACAGATGAAAACAGGAAAAATGAGGTGGATATTTTAGAAAATAAGAGAGCAGTGTTTTAGAGTGAGAGAAAAGTTATTACCTCAGAGCTGCGGTGCTGTTGATGCCTCAGTGACTGAATGAGACTTTTCTCTGAGGTTTGAAGATCAATCATCATCTTCGCAGGAAATGACGAGCCTTTTTTTTTTAGCCTTTTGATTTGGTTTTGGGGATGTTGGTGCCATTGAGTGACTTTCACTCTCTCTCTTCATGAAGTCTTTATGTCTTTATGTTTTCAGTGGCACAAGTTACCTAATAATATTTTGATTTCTAAATTTCTTCCTCCACCTTTCAGGCCGTAAAATTAATCATGTAAATAAAAAAAAGTGCCTGTTAGTTTCAGGACAATCATGCATTTCTTATACCTGCTTATTGTCGGGGGTGTCGGTGCGTTAATTGGCTGAGAGATGGACTACAGCTAACCAGTTCAACATATTCAAAACAACCAGAATAAATGATCAGTTTCCCATTCTAAGTGTTTTAATTTGTAGAAATGTTGAAACTGTTTTTACTGATAATGATACATTATGTTTTAACAATGTGTTTATCTATTAATGTCGCCATCACTGAGTTTATTTTTGGATTCTTTTTACTCCAATAAAAGAAAGAACTTCGGCATGATTTTTACACTGCAAAAATGATGATCTAGAAATAAGTAAAAATGTCTTAAATTTAGTTTATTTACCCTTAATTTGAGTGGGTATATAAGATGATTCGCCAATGAAATTAGTATCTTTACTCTTAAAATGAGATAATTAGATAATATGAACTTGAAATAAGACAATGCAATAGTTTTATCTTATTTTAAATGTAAATTGTCTTGTTCCATTGGCAAAGTGTCTCACTTTCATACTGAATTGGAGAAAAAATGCACTTATTTTAAGTAAAAATTGCTTAATTAGATTTCCATTTTTTGCAGTGTAGTCCTGCACTGCAAAAAATGGAAATCTGTCAGTAATTTTTTCTTAAAATAGGTAAATTTTTCTTGAATTGAGGACAAAAGTGAGACTCTTCGCCAATGAAACAAGACAATTTACATTTGAAAAAGGAAAAAAACTATTGCATTGTCTTATTTCAGGTTCATATTATATAATTATCTTATTTATTATATTTATATACTTATTTATTATATGTAAAATAAAATGACTGATGATTAAGTAAAAATGTATTAAATCAAGTATATTTACCCTTAATTTGAGCAGGAAAATAAGATAGTTTGCCAATGGAATGAGTATTTTTACACCTAAAATAAGATAATTAGAAAATATGCACTTAAAATAAGACTAAGCAATAGTTTTTTCTTATTTCAAATGTAAATTGTCTTGTTCCATTGGCAAAGTGTCTCACTTACCCCCTCAATTCAAGAAAAAATGCATTTATTTTAAGAAAAAATGACTTATATAGATTTTGATTTTTTTGCAGTGTATAAAAATAAAGTGGAAAAGAAAAAAAAGTAAAGTAACTAGTTAAAAATGAAAATAGGAATTAAATCTTAATATTGTAGTATTAACATCCAGTGTTGACTGGATGTGAACAGTTGGGTTTAGATTCCTTTGTTTTACTTAAAACAACATCAAAAAATCTGAACTTGAATGAGGGCGGAAGCTGAAAAACATCAGATTGCATCAAAATCCACATTCACAGCAAGCCTGCAGTTGCTGTTTTTATCTCTTGGTTAACCGATCTCTTTTTGCTCTGTTGCTTTTTTTCCGAGGAAAAGGCCACGCATGCTGATTAACCAAAGCAAGAACAAAAAGACAGAAAAAAGAAGACGGAGACTCATAGATGTACAAGTGAAACCTTGAGTGGTTCATGGCAGACTAAATGCACTGTAAAAAGAGCGCAGTAATGTACAAACATGTGACTAAAAAAAGTATTTTCATGCCTGAATATATTTATACCTGAATCTTGTGGAAACAAATAAAGAAAAACTGACATTGTTAAAGATCAGGGAAACTGTGGACTAATCTTGGAAAGTAAATGGACACCCCCCTCCCACTACAACTAGCACCAGAAGCAATTATTCAAAAACAAACTGCTCCCTGACTCACCAAAGTTTTGAAAGAAAATACACAATCCTGTGAATAATAATAATAATATATATATTTTTTTATTAAATCCAATTTGTTCCTTACATAACATTTACAGACAAACTTTACAGGGAATCTGTTTTGTCCTAGTTTAACCTTTTTTATTCCACTGTTTTATGCAACAATTGGAATTTTTTTTATGAGTCTTGATGTAGATTGAACTCCTGAAAAGTTTGGGCTTTCATTGGAAAGGATGTACGATATGTATCACAATGCATGTGTCACAATACAATTTTAACAATAGATAAACAAAGACAATCATTCACCGGCCACTTTATTAGGTACCCCATGCTAGTAACGGGTTGGACCCCCTTTTGTCTTCAGAACTGCCTCAATTCTTC